CTCTTGAACGCTGGTCTTCATTCCAGCGGCATCTACACCATCTACCCAGGATTCGGTGCTGACGGTCTTCGTGTCTACTGTGACATGGAAACTGATGGCGGGGGTTGGATCGTGTTCCAGAGGCGACAAGATGGCAGCGTGGACTTCTACCGTAACTGGACCGAGTACCAGTCTGGCTTTGGTGATCTGTCCGGTGAGTTCTGGTTGGGCAATGACAACTTGGCGAAACTGACATCTGATGATTCGCATGAAATATGGGAGCTACGAGTTGATTTAGGGGACTGGGAGAACAACACGGCTTGGTCAAAGTACTCGGATTTCCAAATATCCCTTGGTGAGTTCAATATAAAATGGGAGAAATTTGATTCCGACAGCACTGGCGGTAATGCACTTCCGTTCAGTTTGGGAGACCCGTTTACGACAAAGGATCGTGACAATGACGCGGATCCATCTTCTAACTGTGCCGAAAAGCTAAAGGGAGCCTGGTGGTTTGACAGATGTGGACATTCTAATTTGAATGGCTTATATTATCCAGGGCCTGCGGTCGAGAACAGACAGGGCCTCTACTGGCATCACTGGAAACTTAGCATAACTTATTCCCTGAAAAAATGCAGCATGAAATTTCGTGAAAGGCACGAGTATGCTAGGGTGTGCGTTCCCTGAGGAATGTAAGCCGACACCATGAAATATACTCTGGTATTACAGTCATAGGAATTAACAATAGTATTTATAAAGGATTAAAACAATTTCAGTAGTGTTTAAAATGTACTGTCTGTTGCACTGAGTCCAAAATGGAACAGAAAGAAAAACCATCTGGTTGTAGTTTCATTTGTTTTATCTGCCTGGTAAATGAGTCTTTTCATCGTTCTGTGTGTTTCATCCTATCACAGACTATATCAAGTTGAACAGCAGCGAGAATGAGAGAAATATTAGTGGTCTTGAAATGTTATTAAATTCTCCACGGTTGACATAGTTGAATCGTGTAAATATATAAATACATAAGAAAGTTTCATGCTGAATTTGGTGAAGTAAAGTGCCGTGTATTGTGATATTTTAAAATGATATTTTTAATTGGTGTTTTGAAAATAAAAAGAATTTGTGTAAAAAAAATCAGCAGTTCTGTCAGATGTTCTTCAGGATTTCTGAGCGAACAGGAAAGGAAAATGACTTGCATAGTTGCTGAATAATAAATGGCACATTGGACTCTGGAATACTTTTCATGATCGATATCATTGAATCCATAGAATAGAGCGTGAAGTAACCTGTTTTCATTTCCTGCTGAGCGCACTCACCGTTATTACCAATTTCAATTCTAATTTCTATGTAAATTTATTTACTTATTTCTGTGTTGCGTAATTGAAATGAGTTAACAGGTCCAAACGTAGCATTTTCCCAATCGTGTCCTGTTATAAGTTCAGATGTGATGTAAATAGAAATACCTCCAGACGATGAAGTGTTAGTACTCTAAATGCTACTTTATACGAAAGAAAAAATTGGCAAAAATTGAACATCGCACACTTTGTTAGGTTTCAATTTCAGAAAACTAATCCTTAAAATATGGACGAGACCAATTTCGCTTGTAGCTGTGACATCAATTAAATTCAATTTTAACACTGGTAACACTTTGGGGTGCTAATTACATTTAGGCAGCAATTTGAATATCTAATAATTGTAACTCATGATGTAAACTACATTCAGAAATTTTCTTCGAATCTCAGCATGCATACCCGAACTTTGCTATTTCAGTCTTTCATTGGGAAAACAGTGTCAGTGAACTTGTTACTTTGAATAAACTAATGTACTCTCTAGTGCTCTCATCGACTGAAAAAAAGTGGTTGGTCACAATGTGTAATCACTTTTCCCGTTTTCCTAATTTACCCTGGAATACTGAAAAATTATGGAATCATGACATTATTTGTACACAGAGTGCAGAAAAGTATACTTTGCATCTCACTAGTTCACCCGATGAATTTGGTAAAATTCTGGCAATGACGTCATTCTAGTTTCAAGACTAACCATGTCATAAAAACTGCATAAGACAATCGGACTGTCAAATACTTCGGGATTTGCACAACTGAAGTTACACCTTCGGAACTGTGTGGAAAGCTCCTCGGCCGGGCTTAAGACAAATCCAGCTATGTTTCACTTGACATTGACAGGGCGGATTGGTAAGGCCCACTGCTAATGACCAACGCCATATTCACCGAATTCGTTTATACAGGTATCTGCTTTCTTGGTTTGCAATCTCTAACGATCAAAGTCAGTTTGCCTTGTCTCTCTAACTCCTTCAGCTTTCTGTGCTCCAGATCCCAGCTATGGGCTCTATTGAGAGAATAGTTGAATTTCACATCGTCAAAATAATGATACTTGATATCTCGACCCTCCAGGTCTTTGTAGAACGGGTAGAAACCGAACAGGTTGATGTTGGCGCAGAATGTCCGAGCGACTGCGTACATGTCTAACCCGAGCGTGGCAATCCGACGTAAACCCCATGCCCTGTAAGGAGAGAAAGGCGAGGAAAATTAAACTGGTCAGCTCGGTGGAGGATATCGTGTTTCTTGTCCTTGGCCCTTTTCCAATACTCGACTTGGGCTCCGACTGGGGCTTCGTTCCCAAAACCAATCCCCGATTGTGGGCCTGAAGCGTTTAAATTGAATTGGATTACTGTAATTTCTGGCTCTCTTGCATCTTATTTGATGTTTTGTGGCACTATTAGACTAATTACTGCGCTTACAGCTTCAAAGTCAACTAGTTAAAAAACAGGTGAAGCCTGAGACGGAGCCGAAGTTGAGTATTGGAAAACGGCCCTTGCGTGACTGGCCACATCTTTCCAGTAAAGTAAACACTAATATTTTAGAGCAATCGCCATTTTTAAATTATCAACTGACATATTTTTAACACAGGGATATCCCTGAACAAATAAGATCAAAACATCATCACGAGGCCGAACGGATTCGTGCTTTGCAGGATTTTGCTCTGGGAAAAAAAAAAAGCAAATAAACTCTTTATGTTATTACTTTTGAGGACTTGGCCATTCAACATTATCTTGAAATATAAGAAAAAATTAAATGTTCAGAAAAATTAAAGCTGGATAAAAGTTATGGTATAATAATTGATTGATATAAAATCCTACTTTTCAACGCGGATAGGTTTCCAGTTGAAGGCAAAACGAATACCCGACAGTCCGTTCTTCCTTGTTTCATTTATCACTGATCGGTAGTTCACGCTTGACCTATGAATACCGCCTAGTTTGGTTAACGATTTAGGGTACCACAAAATCGATTCTTTCAAAGTGCGAACATGTTCAAGGAATCGATCTCTCTCCACGCTTTTCTTGGCTGCCCGAATGGCATGTCCATACTTCAGAAGTGTTGCTCGGTTGAAAGCGTTCAAATCGGATGTTCTACCGACGTCAACCTCGTAGCCTTTTATCAGTCCCATGTTGGCGCGGATGACAAAGTCGTGCGAGTCTATGAAATCTCCACAGCTGCTGTTGTTTAAGATACCACTGTTACCGACCACAGCGCAGCTGCCCTGCCGTGGAATGAGCTCCACGCCGGGGAAATGTTCCTCCAGACTACATCGGTCCGCCTCAAGCACAGGAGAATTATCAGAAATGTTGCTTCCTGTCGCTATACTGACGACAGGATTGTAATTCTGAAACTTGAAAGTCATGTTTGTGGTTGGAGTATCGTTCCTGTACACGAAGATGGCCAAATCAAGAGGGACGCAGATGTCATTTCCAGATCTGAAAGAGAAGAAGAGGTCTTTTTCACTCTGACAAAACCATATAACTTTCTACAAGCTTTCCAACAAGCCACGTATTTCAGAAAATATTGACAGTCGGTACGGTAACTGTGGCGATCATTATCGCGATCTCCCGAATGTTAACGAACACCTGCTGTAACTGCGAATTAACACATTATTGCTTCCTGCACTAAGCACATCATCAAATCTTTGTAACTGTTTTACATGTTATGGGCTTCAAGCTGGACCAAGAGAGGGCGCTTATTTCTCAGTAACGGACACTTCTTTGTGCGCTTGTCGCCGCGCCCAGCACACGAACAAGGAGCTGGGAGGGCTAATGGCCTAGCACAGATTTTAATAAAGGAAGTACGTCACATGGGGCTCACAGCTAACGACTCGCAGAGCACTGTGGGTAAATTTCTGCCCCGCGCGTGAGCTCGCGCAATGCATTTCACTAGCGGCGGTTATCAATTCGGTATTTTTTTTTCTTTTTCTTTCTCATTGCTGAAATATTCCCGCTACACTTAATTCATTCATCCAAATTGATCAAGATAATCAATGTTTCTTTAATGTATATCGCCCAAAGACACGTGATCAGTGCTACTTAGTGAGAAGATAAATTACCACATTGTGATTGTACCAAGGCCAGGTTTTTATAGGCGACACTTTGTCTATGCCAAAGCATTGCAAGCCAATGGCAAGTTAGATTAAAGCAACTCTTCGCTAACAGGAAGTGAGAACCTCTCGACGAACTAAAAAAATTGAATACCACTTTCCTAACAGGTTGTGCACAATGTAGCCAATCACAGTGCAAAGCCATCAGCCCTTACCAGCGCCCTGTTGAGGCGCTGGGCGACTAGCAAAGCTCACTTTGGTACTTTGGTTCACGAACGACTAGGAAACGCAAGCGTTGCAATTGCATCGCTACCAACAAAATGAATACTCCTGACCAACGCGGCTTTCCTAACTGATGACGGGGTGCTTCTGCCACAGGTGGATTGTTCAACTTATGTCAGACTCAATAATCTCGACTAAGGACCTATTAAGGGCCGTCAGTAGAAAGTATAGGTTGTAAACGAAATCTAGGGATAGTCAACTTTGGATATGTACTACATGTATATGCGTGGACTCAATTTGTACGCTGTCAACAAACACAAAAGCTTTAATCTGTATACTTTCTTTTTACATAGAAACCAGGATCAGTTTTTTAAGCATCAATATAGTTATACATATCAACAACACCTAGATTTGTCATTGCAGTGACACCACCAGTCAGATTATGAAGAAAGATTAATTTGAAGAATTGTTTTAAACGGGTTAATTTGATCTTTTTTTATCCTTGTGCTAAAGATCATAAACACTTGGCTTAGCTGATGATCAGAGAAATCACCACGTCGATAAATCTCTTTTACTACCTGGGATGACCGCCGAGGCAGTCGTTATATTCCGCACGAAAAATGCTCGCTATTTCCTGCCATCAGAACTATTTTAGGACCTCACATAAGATTTGTATTTACAATTCATGAATACCTCAGGCAGTCTCCCAACAACGTGCAACTTGACTGGGTATTAACATTTGATGAAGCCCGCTGCAAAGTGATAATGCCGGCTAATCACGCACTGGCGCCTGGATACGAGCAGTTTAATCGATTCTGATTGGCTGAGTATGTGTGCACGCGGCTCGCCACGGGCTCCAAGTCCATATAAAGAGATGCTTCTGGACAACTATAAAATAAAATGGACGGGGGGGTGGGAGAATGAAAGTAAAATTCTAGCACAAAATTGTTGGAAATCCGTCATAATTATATTTGAGCTTCTTTTGACTCTGTGAGTAAAACACGCAGTTAAGAATGGGAATAAGTACGTGCTTCGCCGGTTTGAAACTAATGTATAAGACCGGCTCAGGCAACTGAACACTGGTATAATGCCCGTTTCTGCGGCTAGGGTTGTAGTCACGACCATTCTCCTTAAAGACGCCTTTCCTTATGCGGTACGCGCCAGCACTTGTGCCAAGCGTTGTGCATGTATCTGTTAAAATCGCTCCCGGGGCGATTGAGACGGCCGAACGCAACATGTGTGTTATATAAATGGAGTCGATTTTTATGACTATGAAAGTGAAACCAATGTGCATCGTATACGCAACGCACCCCAAAACATACACGGAAAGGCGCCTTTAGCTGGTCTTAAACGCACGTTTAAGACCGGCCAAGCACATATTTATTCCCTTCTTGTTTAGAGCTGCCCTTGAACTAAACTTTCTGAACTCACTTGCTGCACACTCTCTTGCATTGCAAAGTCACTTCCCTCGTCTGGTTGGCCCCTACTCCCGTCGGCAGCGTCGTCATCACCGCAGACTTGGCCATCGCTATAGGCCTACGGCTCGATAGCTTCCCACTGACAGATTTTCTTAGAGTCTCAGACCTTGCTAGATGATTCAGTGGAGTACAACTCTTTTCAACGATATAAAAGCTCGTCATTAACCCCATAATTGAGAAAAGGCATACCGCCGCAAACCACCGGCAAAATGTGTAGCCCGCCATTTTTTTATTCCCGTCTGTCCAAAAGGAAGAAAGTGTTGCATTCACTGTCCATGTACTTTTTTCAACCTGGATAGTTTTCAATAAGGCTTATAGACTGACATCAACTGTCATACCTTTTTCACAAGGACTAATCAGTCACGCCCTCCAAGCCCAATACGGAGATAACATGTGCGAACAGCGCCATTAATAACGTTATTAATATACTGCTGCCCAATTAGCAACAGCTGCAGGAAAATCCGGAATATATCCGGGATGTTGTGGTGAGAGTACTTTCATTACCATTAGCAGCCAGGTTAACAAAGCGATTTCCTCCCGTGGTGTCATTTTTTACTTAACGCAAATAACATATTTTTGGAGTCTACAACTTCTGTCTTTGCTCTTATCATTTGTCGAGTTTGTTGTTCATACAATGCCGC